ATCTTACCTTTTGAAGGAAAATTATTATCTCGAACATTAAAGAATAATATTCAACGTAAAAAAGTTGAAATAGAATTCAAAGAAGAAATAGAAATGCTTTACGATAATTTTGAAAATAGAAAAGCTATTCCAAATAACGATTCATTTTCTAATTATCAAATAAACGAAAATTCAGTGAAAACTATTGTATTAAATTCACTCAAATCGGCTATTGGAGATTCGTTTTCACAAATTACTGATTATGAAATTTCATTTTATGCTCTCGGTCTAGATTCTTTATCCGCAACAAAACTGAGAGGTATTCTTCAAAACCAATTTTCGGATATAAAACTTCCTCATAATATAGTTTTTGAGTATAATACAGTTCAAAGTCTTACAAATTATTTGAAAAATGAATTATCAAAAAACTGCGTTTCACAAAATAATAATAAAGAAAAATTACAAGAACTTAAAACTGAAGTAAATTTATATATTCAAAAATATAGTAAAACAGATAGTTTTCCTTCCGTAGGATATTTTAATTGGCTAGATTATTTTGCACATGTGGCGCGGCTGGTAAACTATAGTTATTGCTTTAATGGAATTGACGAAGTTATAAATGAAAAAGATGAAATTATAAATGGTGAAACGGTTCTTATAACAGGTGTTACAGGATCTCTTGGCTCTTTCATTCTTCGAGATTTATTAAAAAATCCAAATGTGCGTAAAGTTTATTGTTTAGTGAGAGCTTCGGATGAAAATCATGGTTGGTGTCGATTAGAAGATTCATTCAAACAGCGTCAATTAGATACTTCATTATTATTTAAAGAAAATCTTATTATATTACCATGTGATTTAGGAGATTCGAAATTTGGATTATCTGAAAATATTTATTCAAAACTGGTTCATGAAGTAACAAAAATTTATCACGTTGCTTGGAGATTAGACTTTAATAATAAAATTGAAGTATTCGAACGGGAATGTATTGGTGGAACTGTACATCTTCTTATGCTAGCTCGTGAAGCATATGCGTATCATCAAAATATCCATTTTAATTTTATTTCAAGTATTAGTACAGCTATTAGATCAAAAACAAATGTTAAAGAGGATGAGTTACCTGGTGATATTTCGAATTCAATGCTTAATGGTTACGGGTTATCAAAATTCATTACTGAACATGTATGCGCGGAATGGTCAAAAAAAGTTGGCTTC